GGATTTCCAGTGAGGTTGTTTTGTCGCAGGGTTACTGTATTTCGTTCAAATGTCTTATCATCGATTTAGAATTTCCTACTAATATTATAAGTGCGAAAGTTTGTGAGGGTGAATATTTGTTATTGTTTGACGCAAAAAATTCTAAACGGATATTGATAAAATTTTGTATACGAATAACTCTTAGTCTGGATTACCATATTTATTATAGCATTAAATGGTTCTGTCTGTAGGGACCAGGCGCGCGGAGCCGCTGGCGGGAAGTTTGAGCAAAATTAATGATAGTGGAAAGATTTTTAAATTAAACAAAACAAAAATAAACTATTTCTAAGATAAGTTTATATGTGCTGTTTAGTTTGTATTTCTGAAGTCGTTAACACCCACCAATTCGCACTGGGCCGACGCCGGCGGCGGCGTGGCGAGTAATGACTTATTCTCCCTATTCGATTTAATTTCATTCGATCTTTAGAAGAGACATTATTGGACTTAATCAAAGGAAAAAAAAGTTTACCAACTTAAATCTTCCCCAGTATAATTTGAGAAATGTACTTCGTCAAAACATTAATATACTTGGCGACTTATTTATCTATAAGTTCCGAGCCGGTTTAAGTACCCTAACAAGTATGACTTAACTGGAGTCTATAGAGGTGGCAAAACACGACAGGTTATTTTGGGACGCGTATTTATTTGTGAGCACAGTAATGAGCAATATTCAGAGCGTTACATAATACTATAGAGAGTACGTTAACATTTGTTTTTCTGTAGTATTTAGTTTTAATAAGAAGACTTTAAAGTCCAGTTTATTTTTATCAATGTTGCCAATACATTAATTTCATATACCTACGGAAAACTAATCAATAGTCAAACTAAAGCTGGAACACATTTTTAAACTGTAAATCCATTTGCGAAAGTTGGATCTTACGATTAGGATTACGTCTGATTTTCGTTTTAATTCAGATCTGAGTTCTGAATTTTTGGTGTGAATTTCCTCATAGTGATTTTATTGCTTCTAAAGTTTTAGTTCAAACTGATGGTATTTTGCAAAATAAAGTATAAAGATAAAACAAAATAGTATTATTTCAGTGACATTGTACGGTCGTAAGTTAAATGGTAGGTAGTGCGCTTAGTGACTTTAACGTAGGACATTGCAAGGGTTATCTTTTCGGTCATCTCTGTTTGATACGTCTTTCAACTGTATAAATCTCATATAAGCATTGATATGTAACATCAATTAAAAAACCGTCAAAATATAAAAATCAAAGTCAAGAGTAGCGCCGCGGCTCGCAATCTTCTAATTAAATGTGGTTCGCGATTCAATCGTAAACCACATTTAATTAATATTTTTCGGTATTAGTTACAAGCATATCAATATTGTAAAGTGATTGGCTCCGCGATGACAGCACGTTGTTGGTATATTTAAAGTGTCGTTTCATTAGACTTTGCTATACAATTTAATTACTAAAAAAAGTTGATTAATAGGAGTAAACAAGAATTCTTATAGTTTCGCCATGTCCGTCTGTCCGTCTGCGGTTCAGCTCAAAAACTATTTCTAGTAGAAAGTTGTAATTTGGTATGAATATACTTACACATTAATTACGTCGACAAAGTGGTAAATTAAAATTTCAAATAAAATTTGTAGTATACCTTCCTTACACTTAAAGAGGACAATTTGTTTCGTCTCCCTATAGGTATCGTTGTAAAGGTCTTCCAAAAACATTAGGGGTGTGGGAATGCCGTTTTTCGATTCAGTAAACCATTTGTAACTTATTAAGCTTTAAATAGCTACTTTTCGTTAGAGTTAGGTCCCCCCCCCCCTCTACTAAATACATGATCATTGATAAAAATTGAATCGTTACGACATTACAAATATAACAAAGTTGAAAGGAATCACACGTATCACACTTAAGTTCGTTTTAGAAGTCTACGAGTAATAGTCGACTTATTGTATTTACCTCAAACAACTCCATATAAAACAACAATCGTGATTTTTTTCTTTTTCTTTATGGCACGGAACCCTTTGTGAGCGAATCGGACTCTCACTTGACTGATTATTTTTTTTGACATGTTCTTTGCTCTAACGTCTCATGACGACAAAGTAATGAAATTTCTTTGTCATTTCAATGATACTTTTAAAATTTCTATTATAAAGTTCCATAAGTATCAGTAATATTCTTTATTGACCTTTAAAAATCTAAGTTTTCCTAACTTGATAAGAGTGTTGCAGTTAAAAAAAGTAAAGTAATTCGTATTATATATGCTTTTAAACGCTCTGGCACTGGTAATAGCTTAGCCGATATAATATAGATTTTACTAGCCGTGCCCGTGACTTCGTCTGCGCGTAAAGTAGCCTAAGTTACTCTTTATTACATAAGTTCTTTGCCAGTGAAAGTCCTGTCAAAATCAGTCCAGCCGTTTCAGAGATCAGCCGGTCCAAACAAATAGGCAGACAGGTAAAAATGTAATTTTAGTAAAAAACGGTTATTTTAATATTACAAATAGGCACTCAATTTTTTATTTATTTATAATAAATGTACTATCGGAAATTGTTTATTTATTTTGCCGGTACTTTCAGATTTAGGTCCGCTTTTAAACAATTAGTGCAACATAATTAATACTTTTGTAAATATTCTTATAAGTTGAATTTAGGTTTGTGTATACACATTTTATGTTTCATGGTCTCACTGTGTAATTTGCTAACACTGTTGTAATTCAACTAAACACTCGATACATATATGTTACATTGCGTGCAAATGCATTATGATTTAAAATAGCGTTTAGTTATTTAATGGAATTCTTATGCACAGAAACGTACGAGTAATTTATAATAAACAATGTCACGTTGCGATGTACAAATGAATTTTATAATAAATGTAAAGAATAGTTATAAGTTAGTGTGTCAACTATGAATAATAATTATAAACATAATATACACCTTCTAGTTTTACGATATACAGAAAAAGCTTTTAATTTATTTATTTATTTATTTATTCTTTATTGCCTAACTAAGGACAAATGGCGGACTTAATGCCATAGAGGCATTCTCTCCCAGTCAACCAGTTAGATTGTACAGAACAGTAGTAGGCGGTAAAGATTAAAAACGGTACATAAAATCGTAACTATAAGCATTGGCATATATACATACAATACATATACGCATATATACATAATATTAATATAAATATTAATAACATATCTGTTTAATAACAAAAAAGAAAAATAATGTTGCCCGGAAAATCCGAATCTGATATTTGTATGTTTTTTTCTATAGGCTAAAATTTATACTTTTTCAGTATATGGTACATAATATTATACCTCTAGTTGTTTTTGGTGTACGAGACAGACTACAAACTCTTTTATAGTAAAATTCTTTTACGAAAACAAATTAAAATTTTATGTCTTTGAATATTAACGTGACTTTGTAATTATTCAATTCAAAATAAGATGTCGTGTCATATATTCACAGTTTATTTAAATTTAATTTGTTATATTACGAAAATATTTTTAATTTAAAATAACTTTTGGTTTATTAAAATTGATTATTATGTGTAAAAACGTACTAATTGTAAATCAATAGGCACTGATAAAATTTATTTACAATTGGGGTACCTACATACAAATTTGCATTAAACTGTTTCGTTTACTATTTTAGGCAAATAAATGTATTCAGATAACAATAAAGAGGTAATATATTTCTCTCTTAATAATATTACACTTTTATTTGACACTAGCTTTCGCCAGCGGCTTCGCCCGCGTGGACCCTAGGGAAATGTTTAGTAGGATAAAAAGTATCCTATTATCTAAGTCAGCTAACACCCTATCTGTATACCAAATTTCATCAAAATCCGTTCAGTAGTTTCGGCGTGATTGACGTACAAACATCCAAACAAAGAAACTTTCACATTTATAATATTAATGGGATTCAGACTAATTAAATAGTGACGTACTCATGACGTACCATATTTAAATAATAATGAAACGTTCTAAAAAGTTTGCTGACAAGAAACGGCAGCAAAACAGCGGGCGGGTTGGGAAATCGCCAAGAATGACAACTTTATAACAATAATGTTCATTTCCGACGCCAGAGGTCAAGGTCGTTTTTTGCATGAAAAGGAATTCTGATCAATTTAGTTTATGCTCTATTGTATGTATTATTATAACATTTCTATGATTGTATTTACTTTAAGGACTTTTTTAATGATTTTATTATGCCTGTGTTGGTAAGATTATTTAAGTGAGATATTATTAAACAGCATATGAATGAAATAAATATTTTCAATAAATTATGCAAGTACTTACTTTAAATTCATTGTAAAACTACTCGAATTATGACTCTATCTTTCTAGATACAATCTAAGATACGAGTACTTTAGAAAGATGAAGAGTCTTGTTCCGTTTTCTTGTTTCGTTTAAATGTGAGCACTAATTAATTTTATTTAAAGCACAATAGGTGTCAATCAAATCATATGAAAACTAATATAATTTAAAACATTTTCCTTACAAATTCGTTGAACTAGAGATAAAATGTATTTTACGAAAATCATGTATTTTGTTGTGGTCTAATAAATATTATTATTATATTTTTTATGATATTAAATGTGTATGTTTATGATTTTACACTTTATAAATGGTAATAAACGCAATCACAGAATGGTACATCATGATACAACATGAAAACAAATTCCATACTTCGATAGGTTAATCTCCTTTAATTTAACATATGAACAACAGTAAGATAAGATAACGTCTCCTTTTTTTGTTAGTGTTTGATTTGTTTCACTAATGCTACATTTCTTTTTTTATATACTATAGAAATAACTATAAATTTACTTACAGATATAAAACAATACTAAAGAAAATATTAAATAATATTTTCGTTAACGCACATGTATCGAGCGTGCGTCTAATAAAGGCTTTCGCGGCGTGCGCAGGGTTGCGCAGGAGTGGAGTGGAGTGACGCCGGCCGGCGGCGTGCCAGACCACGCGCATAGTACAAGCGCGTTGCTCCCAGACGTCGGTCGCACGCGCGCTACTGATACGAAATCTCATATCTCGTATAAAAAGAGCGAACGCCGAAGGTGCACCACATTAACTATTTTTTTCTAACCGTAGAAGGACATATCGATTTTTTTAAAGTGACATAATGTCCACCGACGTGGTCTTCAGACACAGTCATGGTGAAGATGAGACTCAGGATGTTCTCGTCGCGAAGGGGGTATCGATGGCAGTATTGTTTTGTGCCTCCATGATCTGTGGTATCGCACCATTGATTATAGCGAAGAAATTCCATTGGGTTACTGCTGAGGAGGCGGGGACGCTAAAAAGCACTAATAGGATTGTGATGACACTCCTGTCTTTTGGAGGAGGAGTTCTTCTGTCTACAACCTTCATGCATCTGATACCTGAAATAGAACATAATATAGGATATCTACAACGTGAGTATTTCTTAATTTTTTTTTTCATCGTTATAGTTTTGAAAATACACGTTGAAAACAAACTTGAATTAAATATAAAATATTTAACTTATACTTTAATACAAATAAATGCCTACTTTTAAATTAAGAATCTTAAATTAAGAACTTTTAAAAACAGGTTTACAGTTTAATTTACTGAGTCTAGGTTTTATATTCTAAATACAGTCTTGAACATCATACCTGACACAAACAAATTCGTATCATTATGTAGAGGATGAAAAAAGACAATTGTTACTGCTATAACTTCGTAAACAACTGTAACGGCAGGTTATCTGTGGATCTATGCACTTTTTATGTCACAACATCTTTAAAACAATGTAAACGAAGACGAATCACCTCGTCACATCACCACATCCACTTAATGTACTTGTACCTAATTGGGAATCGTGTAAGCTCAGTATCTCGTTCACCTTGGCTCTAATATATTATGTTTCCGGAGATTGAATGCCCGTTCCGCTCGTTTTTATCTCATACTAACGTACGTTCATACTCTAACACATTTTATAAATAAAAAAATATATATCGTCATTAAACTAGATAATTATGGCGTAATAATTGTTTTGATGATAATAACATTTTGTAAAATAGGTTTATATAAACCTATTTTTCGAGAAAGAGTTAATACAAATGAAATTTACGGCAGCCAATGTAATATTAGATTGGTACATATTTAATATGACATTTGCTGCCGTAAACCACCAATTTATAATAATTTATAAACTTAAATTAGTACTAAAGTAGTAGTACTAAATAGTTACTAAAATTTTAACCATACTCGCAAATAATATTCATAAATTACACCTATGACTCTAACCTGAAAATTTTAGTAATGTGTAGCGCTTTTGAGAGAATATCTCTTGTTAAACTTATTAAAATTGATATAAACTTATAAAAGAAATTGAACTGGAATTAAATGGGTTATATTCTTAATGAATGCAAAATTGATCAAGTATAATAATTAAATGGTTTAATAAAATGAAATAATCAAAATATCAGTTAATTATCAATATAGTATTTTTTAAGTTAAGTGAAAATACATTACACGAAGGCCATTATCTAATAGTTGCGCAAGCGCCGGTAAGTGTGCCAGTGTCCGACTGCGGTCTCGTATCTCGCCGGATACTTAATTGACGACTCATCTCGGTTAGATAGACGACATTGTTTATTTTTTTCCTTTTAAGACAAAAATTATTTGACTATGCAGCCTTGTCCTTTGTATTTTATATATTTTATTGGATTGGACAATCAATTCTGAAAAGATTAATATGTTTAAGTAATATTTTGAACTTTTTAAAAATACGTTCACTGTCACTGTGCTGTCATGTGATGCATGTTTCTTTACGTCTGTAAAATTCGCGTTCTGCATAATTCGTGAAATTCTGGGTACTTAAGTGTATTATTGAAAAACGGCTGGACTGTTGTGCTTCCTTGTCAAAAATGAGCACAGCGCTGTCATGGCATAGAGGTTCAGACAAATAAATTCTAATATAAAAATTATCGAAAAATTAATTACATGTTTGTAAAAACATTTCTTTCGGCTGTTTGGGTGGATTGCCTGGTCATTGATGGAAATACGCTCTGTAGTAGCATAAAAGTAACAAGTGCGTGAAAAATTTGTGAGTCGTGTTAGGTCCTGGGTATTACAGAGCGACTGCTCTCTCAACAACTCTCAACCGCCCAGTGCCAGGGCCAAAGTGGATTTTTAAGCATTTTTCGTAAAAATAAATAAAGTCTACTTCAAAATGTAAACAAAAAGTAACCAATAGGAATAACGAGTACATGATGAATATGTAGAAAATACAACTTTAAATTTACATCTTGCACAAATCATTTAATAACTTATTAAAAATATATGTTCCAAAAAACAATACTGAAAAAGAATCATAAAAAAACTTATATAGATCTATGATTTTCATCATCATCATCATCAGCCGGAAAACGTCCACTGCTGAACATAGGCACCCTTTGAACGCCACGACGGACGACATTGCGCCAGCTGCATCCAGTGGCCGCCCGCGACTCGGACGATGTCGTCCGTCCATCTAGTCGGGAGTCGACCCACGCTGCGTCTTCCGGTTCGTGGTCTCCACTCGAGAATCTTTCGTCCCCATCGGTTCTCGGTTCGTCGAGCGATGTGGCCTGCCCACTGCCACTTCAGCTTACAAACTTTGCGAGCTATATTGGTCACTCTAGTTCTTTGGCGAATATCCACGTTTCGGATCCTATCGCGCAAAGATACCCCTAACATAGCTCTCTCCATGCCTCGCTGAGCGACTCTGAGCTTCTCTAAGAGGCCAGCAGTTAAGGACCACATTTCAGTGCCATAGGTCATCACTGGCAACACACACTGGTTATACACCTTCGTCTTTAGGCACTGTGGTAATTTGGACGTGAAGATATCGCGTAGCTTCCCGAACGCTGCCCAGTCGAGTTGGATTCTTCGAGCGACCTCTTTGTCGAAATTGGATCTACCTAAATGGATTGTCTGTCCAAGGTACACGTAGTGATCGACAACTTCGAGAGTATCAGTTCCAATGACCACCGGTACGGGTGCAACATGGACATTCGACATGATTTTCGTCTTGTTCATGTTCATTTTAAGACCCACCTGTTTGGTAACGATACTCAGGTCGCTGAGCATTGTACTGATGTGCTCCATCGATCTTGCCAAGATGACTATATCATCGGCGAAACGAAGGTGAGTGATGTATTCGCCATTGATGTTGATGCCGTATTCGTCCCATTCCAAGAGCTTGAAGACGTCCTCCAATGCATTCGTGAACAGTTTCGGAGAAATGACATCTCCCTGTCTCACGCCTCTGCGCAATTGGATTGGTTTCGTGCTCTCTTCCTGGTAGCGAATCGACATTGTGGCGTTGCTATACAAACGCTTCAACATTTCGACGTACCTGTAGTCGATTTGGCATCGCTGGAGGGACTGCAGTACCCCAGGTTTCGATTGAATCGAAGGCTTTCTCATAGTCCACAAAGGCTAAGCAAAGTGGCAGATTATAGTCCTCGGTCTTCTGTATAATCTGCCGCAGCGTATGTATGTGGTCTATGATGCTAAAGCCTTTTCGGAAACCGGCTTGTTCGGGAGGCTGGAAGTCATCAAACCGGCGTTCGAGACGATTCGTAATGACCCTCGAAAACAGCTTATAAACGTGGCTCAGAAGCGAGATTGGTCTATAATTCTTCAACAAGGTCTTGTCACCTTTTTTGAAGAAGAGCACAACCACGCTTCTGTGCCACGCTTCTGGCGTCGTACCCTCGAGAATGACGGAATTGAACAATTTCTGGAGTCCCTTATCATTGACATAGTATTTTATGCAAATTCTAATATTATGTTTTTTATTGTTTGTCTATATAATATGTTTTACGATGTAAATATTACTAATGTTAAAAAACACATTCCATCTACATTTTTAGATTTTATATAACAAAGTTATTGGACTTTATAACCGGTCGAAGATAGTGAAAGTTACTTTAGAATTAAATAAGCTATTGTTATATTATTAAATATGTTATAAGAAGTTGCGATAATCGATACATATAATTTAATGAACAGAATAGATAACGATACTATAATTCTAAGAAATAAGTACTATAAGAAATGAAATGGTCCATGAATATGTTTTTTTTTAATTGAACATTAACGATTCCGCCTTACAAATCGATTTCAACCATATAAACTATCTTATTGTCTATTTTTCTCATTTATATATTTAAAAATTGAATACTGTCACGAACTGACGTCATGTCAGAGTTTCAAGACGAATAGGTACTTGAGAAAAATCCTGTTGAGAAGTTTTGATAAATGCCTTTTATAATGAATTAAAATCTAAGACAAACACCCGGTCTCTGAATTGAGAATTTAAAGTTAAGAACGTATCAAACTAAATGTTTTTAGGATCAGTTTTTAGCAATTTGTTAAAACTAGGATTTTAGGCCTTTTTATTGAAAAAACTTTTGATATTGAGAGCAATCAGTTGACATTTTGCACTTTTCTCAATTCAGTAACAATTCAAAGCTAGCTAATGTAAAAGTATAAGAATATCCGATGTCACATGTACGGACTCCCTTGGTACGTCACCGGACGTGCAACAATTAGCTTATTACCAATTCAATGAAGGGAAACAGAATCAGTGTGATCGCACACAGAATATAATTAATATCTTATTAAATATCTAATTATGATTTCTGTTGAGATGGATAAATAATTTGATATTATGTTATTTAGATATCTTAATTAATTAGATATTTCGTTATTCATTCTAATTAACGAAATATCAAATTAATAATCCATGTATATATTGATTACACTATTTCTATTTCACTATCAATATTTTTTTTTTGATACTTCTATTCATTATTTTGATTACGATTAGTCGGTCTGCCTTTCCAAATATAAAAAGTCAAATCAAATATGAAGAAATTAAGATGTTACACTTAAAATGAAAGTTTTTTATTTTTTATGTGAAATGAAATAAAATGAAAATATCTTTATTCAAGTAGGCTATTACAAGCACTTCGGAACCAAAAAAAATTTTTTCCCTACCACTTGTTCGGGACGTCTTTTAGATGACAAGAAGAACAAGCGAAAGAAACTTACCAGCTCTATATCATAAGTAATGACATTTACATAAATCATGTCATTACCAAAATAATATGTATTATTATCAGTCACAATAATAAATACAACTTTCAGACTGTAGGAAATAGGTTGAACATATAATTAGTCTTTATGGAACAAAGCGAAGGCTATTCATTCCATGCATTGCGATCCTTAAAATAATCATCAACTTTATAATAGCCTTTATTCATAAGTATGTTCTTTACATGAAGTTTAAATTTATTTATGGGTAAGTCAACTACATTTTTATAATACAACGAAAATATATAAAATAGCAATAAAAATATTTTACGCGCAAATTGGAAAAAAGCGGACATTTTCCTTATGT